ATGGGTGATTTGGTGAAAATAAGCCTTTAAGTCAGTTTTTTTTAGTTATCTGGCCCATGACTTGCATTTTGGGGATATTCTGAATCTCAAGAAATTTTTTACATTGTGGCTACCAAAACTGGATGCAGTATTCTAGGTGTTGTCTTACTAAGGCTTTCTGGAGTGGTGTTAGTACCTCCCTTGATCTTGATTGTATCTCTCTGTTAAGGCAATTTAGAATTGCATTGGCTTCTTTGGCTGCGGCCACACATTCATTAAGATGGATTCCCTAAAAAATTTCTTGAGATTCAGAATATCCCCAAAATGCAAGTCATGGGCCAGATAACTAAAAAAAACTGACTTAAAGGCTTATTTTCACCAAATCACCCATTTTAATGTCTTGTCATGATATTATAGATGTACTTATGGGAAGCAGTGGGATTCTGTGTGAATTTCAAAACCCCATGGGACATAATCAGTGAGAAAATAGTGGCATGGAAACCAGGATAAAAAAAAATGCAAAATTACTTCATACAAGAAAAACAAAAGGTGGAAATAAAGAGATTATAACCAGTGTGATTGGACTGGCCAATAACATTTCATTCCCTCATGTGCAGTAATCATAAATTTAATTTGTATAGAGATGAGCCTTATATACTGACTACCTGTTCGACTGCCTACCTCCCTAAAAAGGGGGAGAAAGCGATGCTAGGTATGTATCTCAATGCATACAAATTAAAATATTCATTGCCTAGCGTGATTAAAATATGAACTCTCACTAAACACACCCAATAAGCCCTCAAAACATTTGTTCTTTGCAAATTCTGAGAAGAATTATATCTTGCTTCATAGATCCGAAAATGAGGCAGGTAATCATTTGAAGTCAGAGACTATATTTAATTTTTAAAAGAATCCACCGAGAACTGTCATGGCAGTGAATATTCTGGAGGTTTTCTCCATAAAAATAGATCTATTTAGCCTCACCAAAATCTAGGTAAAAGTACAGGAAAAGGTTCCCCTTACACATATGTGCTAGTCGTACCTGATTATAGGGGGCAGTGCTCATCTCTGTTTGAAAGCCAAAGAGCCAGCATTGTCTGAAGACATGTCCGTGGTCATGTGGCCGGCATGACTAAATGCCGAAGGCGCACGGAACGCTGTTNCCACATAGACCATGTGACTCCACCCTTTCCTTGTGTATGCTCAATAAAAGAGGCCTCCGGACTCTGTTCCGGGTCGGCTCATCCCGAGAGAAGACTCGTTTCCGTGTCTTCCTTCATCATTGGCCTCATGGGCGACCCGCGGAGAAATCGCAGTATTCTTCAAACAAAATACCCAGTACTACAACAGCCCAGGATTCATGGACTCCACCAAATCTTTTCCAACATTTCTTCAATGAACTCTTTAGAAGAATCATTCTAAATAATCGAGTTACACTTCTAACATCACCAGCAAGAAGCATTGCACAAAACCTGGAATGTGGGAAAGAAAAGGTACCTGAAATTAATCCTAGGGATGTTTTTTCAAGAGGCCACTGGATTATCTTTGTTTTTCCTTGAAGACATTTAACTTCTCATCCAAGAAGCTTGTTCAGTTCTGACTAAAGGGTGGAGAACTGAAGAAGCTTCTTGGATGAGAAACAAAATGTTTTCAAGGATGATTTATGTGCTCCTCACACTCCGTGGCCAATTCCGAAGGCTATTGATTCTCTCAACCTTTCTTGAGGAGGTCACATGAGTGATGATTCTCATCCAAGAAGCTTCTGAGCAAAGGTCCATTGTCCTCCTGAAAAAGCACCTTTGGGACAACCAATGACTGTGATGACTCAGAATCTCTGTAAACATCCATCTGAGATTAGCCTGTGAGAAAACACTCCTGTGTGTTAAAAAAATATATATGTTTGACCTAATTTCTTGCTTTGAAGCCGTTGGAAACAAAATCAAGAAGCAATTGCTGAAAGTTTACATCTAGAATCGAAAAGAATGTCAAAATCATACATATAATTCTGGTCAAGCATGATTTATGTTCTCCTCACTCTTTGCGGCCAATTCTGAAGGCTATTGATTCTCTCAACCTTTCTTGAGGAGGCCACATGAGTGATGAATATCACAAAAGCTATCAATGGAATATGAGTGATGCGATATGTGACTTTTTTGCCCAGTTGTGATGAAAGTAGCAGGTTCCTGCAGGCCTCCATTCCTCCATGATTCAATGCTACCTGGAATACCTAACACAGATATTGAACATAATTCATGTTGTGTTATCAGTGCATCAGTGGTGGGTTGCAAATATTTTTACTACTGGTTTGGGCACGCTCCTACACACGCCTCTCACTGCCACTACTACTGGTTCAGCCGAACTGGGAGCAACCCACCAATGCAGTGCATTCATTAGCTTACAAAATCATTTTCTGAACATAAAACATAGGCATGATTATTTTTGCCTGTATGCTGACCGATAGATAGATAGATAGATAGATAGATAGATAGATAGATAGATAGATAGATAGATAGATAGATAGATAGAT